GTAATATTTTTATTTCATTTTTTATCTGAAAATATTCTGTCGATTCTTTGGGGATCGAGAAAAAACCTGCTCTCCGAAGGAACAGCAATGAAAAGCAGTTGAATTTACAGAAGGAGGGCGAACTTTTGCTTAATCGACGAATCCGTTTTTCTACTGTTTTTCGAATTTGAATATGAATTGCTGAGCATTATCTCTGATGGAATGGAAATTTTATGTACGTACAGCAAGACTGTTCTGAATGAATGTACTCTTTAACTCTTTTTTCAATGAAGTTTTTTGAGAACTTAAAGAATAAAACGATCTTCTGTCAAGGAGAATTTTTCTTGGAGAATATAATAGTTAAGAAAAGAAATTCTCGAGTGATATCTTCTGTTACAGTAAATAAAAAAGAAACTATGACAAACTATTAATGTCCTTGGTTATATCGTTGTTGAATAGATTGAAGAAATTATCGAAAGAAAATTTTATTATTGTTGTTTTCAAATATCGATGTGCATAAGATAATTAAAATTAATTATCATCCTCTAAAAAATAGTGTATGGAAGTATATTTTAGACATTACTTATTTATAGATATTTATTTTAAATACATATTTTCCTTAAATAAAATAATTAATAACATCAAAAATTTTATTTTCTCTATTTTTCCACAAATATGTTGTTTTGTTGAGAAGACCTTGAAATTTATCGAATTGCGTCTTCTATTTTATAGAATAAAGAAGAAAATTCAGCAAGTTATTAATAATATGATTTATATTTTCTTGATTATATCGTTGTTGAATAGACCGAAGAAAAGTATCGAAATAAATGTGAATTATTGATGTGTATATGATAATTAAGAACAAATTATCCTCATATAATTAATAGAGTCTAGAAGTTTATTTTAGGCTTTAGTTATCTGTTGATATTTATTTTAAAATATATATTTTTCAGAAAGAAATAATTGATAAGATTAAAAATATTAATTTCTCTAACTTTTTACTTTTTACAGAAAAAATAATTTTCTTTAAGTTTAGATGCCAATTTTGTAGAATTATTTCATCTTGGAAATTTATATTAAGAGCAGCATTTCTTTTGATCCTTTAAACTAACATTATAAAAAGGCCCAATGGAGAGAATGGAACAATGGAATTGTCAAAAATAACTGCCACTCGACATCTTTTAACATTCTAGTAGAATTTTTGTATCAAAATTAAATGAAAAAAAAATTAATTAATAATTAAAATCCATTTGTCATGCACAAATTGTAAAATAAATAATTCCAGATGAAAATTATTTGAAACGAAGAAAAATCTTATTTGACCATGTTTATCTAATTGATTTATTCACATAAGGAAACTTCAAGTTTTAAAATTCACCAAGTCATTTTACTTAAGTTAAGATTAAAAAAAAAAAGCATAATATAAAGAGCATTTTTTTTAAAAAAATGTTCTGTTGAAATGTGTGCATTATATTTCTATAAAGAAGGAATTGTGTAAAATTCCTTTATTGAAAAGATAAGTTTTGTGTTGCATTAAAACAGTTTCCAACGAATTATTTCAGTTTTCAAAAGATTATAAGAAGATTATCTGAAAAATTATTCATGTCTGCGAATTCTTTTCTGGAATTGAAATGTTGTAAATATGAATTTAATTAATTAACTTTGGGAAAAATAACCATTTTTTTAAAAAGTTACGTTTTAACATTAACTTTAAAAAAAGAAAGAAGGTTTAAGTATTATCTACTTTAATTTCAATAAATATATTTATAGTTAGTCATTAATTTCAAACTTATCAAAAACAAACTAACAGTTAAAGGAGAAATGAAATTTAGATCAAAGAAAATTTTTAAAAACGAAAATTTATACTAATCTTTTCGAATTCCATTAAACTTTGAAACTTAAAAATTCTCGACTTGATTACTAATTACGACTTAATTAAGTAAAACTAACTAAGAATAAAAAAATGTCAGATACTAATTGATTAAATGTAAACATAATTTATCAAGAGGAACGTTATGTAATAAACGAAAACATATGAGATTAAGTATTCGTCATTATTCACATGTTCTGTGATGTTTGATGAAATAAGTTAAAAAACTCTTTGAATCGAAATAATGTTTCGTAAATAATGAATATAATAGTAATTTATTCTCCCAATGAAAATTAAAAAAAACTGAAACTTAAAAATTCTGGACTTGATTAAAAATTCACATCATTCACTAATTAAAGATAAAATATCCCTGAAAAGTAAAACTAACTAAGAATAAAAAAATGTCAGATACTAATTGATTAAATGTAAACATAATTTCTCAAGAGGAACGTTATGTAATAAACGAAAACATATGAGATTGAGTATTCGTCATTATTTACATGCTCTGTGATGTTTGATGAAATAAGTTAGAAAACTCTTTGAATCGAAATAATGTTTGGTAAATAATGAATATAATAGTAATTTATTCTCCCAATGAAAATTAAAAAAAACTGAAACTTAAAAATTCTGGACTTGATTAAAAATTCACATCGTTGCTAATTAAAGATAAAATATATCTACATAATATAACTTACTAAGAATAAATAATAAAACTAACTAAGAATAAATAATAAAACTAACTAAGAATAAATAATAAAACTAACTAAGAATAAAAATAATGTCTGATACTAAATGATTAAGGAAATATAAGCATAATTTCTCAAGAGGAACGCTATGGAATAAATGAAAACTTATGACACTGAGTATTCGCTATTCTTCACATGATCTGCGATGCCTGCTGAAATAAGTAGGAAAATTCATTATGATGAAATAAAGTTTTAGTAAATAATGGATGTAAAAGTAATTTGTATATGCAATTGTAATTAGTGTATTTAAAAAAAATCTCAAAATTTTCGAAAAGCTAATTTGTTTAATTTTAATAACACAAATAATTCACTACATTTATATGGTACCAAATTTATAAATTAAAAAGAAAATGAATAGTTTCTTTACTGTAAATTTCAGAAATTATGTGCATGTTTAACTAATACCATATGCTACAAAATGGTACCTACCGTTAATTAATTCCATGGTGTTTTCCCACTAAGCATGCATTATAATATCGCCAAGTTGGCGAAACATTGGCAATACTGAAGATATTTAGTTTAATATTTACGATATACTCAAGATTGATATCAGACAATGTGCGACTTTTCTGGAAAATCTGGACGATTCCTCAAAACTTATAAGCATGAAAACAACTACAATAAGATAATAAATGACTACGAGACTTATTGAACTTGGCAATTATATAATATAATCGTAACAATTCCTCTATAATCAATTTGCTTTTTAACTTTTGATTGCGCTTTATTCAAAAACACATTTATTATAATTGATACTAATAAGCAAATTTTAACTAAAAATTGCAACCGAATTTATTTATTCCATATTTTTCTTCTTCATTATTATTATCAAAAACAACAATAAAATATTCATAGGGGGAAACAGCAAGAGAATTTTGGAAACAAAACAACGATAAAGGAAAGACAAATCAATTTTTATATTCTGGAACACAAATACAATGTGTCTGTTTCCGGAATGTAAAAATTAAGGAAGCTAAATACTGTCAATAATGTCATCTTCGGCAAAACAACTGAACCAAGGAAAGAAAAATGCATGACTACTTGAGACTTCTCATCATGTCGTTAATAATTACTCTTACCTCCTGTTTCTCAAGTTCAACCGAAGGACTACCGATTTGTACATTCTGGCCCACTGAAGATCTGAGAGGACTTCAGTTTACCTTCAATTTTTGGGTTTCAAAATAAATAAATAAATACAAAACACACTTTTTTTATATATTTATGTAACTTGTCTTAATATAAATATATATTTATCTTATATATTCTTCACTGATATGATGTTCTTTCTTGTTTTAAAAATGCTACTTGGAATTCATTATTAATTGACACTTTCTAGCTTATCAATTACACAATGAACTATTCTTCAGAAATGTCTTTTTTTATTATTTTTATTTATTAAATATTTTTCTTCTTCATTATTATTATCAAAAATACTTTAAAGAAACACTTTTCCGGAATGTAAAAATTAAGGAAGCTAAATACTGTCAATAATGTCATCTTCGGCAAAACAACTGAACCAAGGAAAGAAAAATGCATGACTAGTGGAGACTTCGCATCATTCCTTCAATAATGACTCTTACCTCCTGTTCCTCAAGTTCAACCTAATGGTTACCGATTTGCACATTTTGGCCTATGCAAGACCTGGGGAGACTTCTGTTCAGCTTCATTTATTGGGTTTAAAAAATAATATTAAGTTACATAAATATTTTTTTTTTATTTCCAATGGCAAGGCAAGTACAAGAAGAATAAAAATAGTAATAATAACAAAAATAACAAGGGAAAAAAATACAAAAGAATAAACGTTCAAAAAAAAATGCAAATATGACCGAAGTCATTGCCTTAAAAGTTCTCTCGCACGCCAGTAAAATGTTGTCTCCGAGTCGCCTTCAAGTACCGCACCTCGTTGGAGGTGGTCTCTGTTCATTGGGTCTGTTGAACTACATAGGGGGCAGCCAGGATTTGAAAAGATTTTAATGCGATGGAGATGTTCTGCTAGACAATATATGCAAATTTATTGGTTTAGACATTGGATTCAAGTGTTTGGCATTCATAAATAACGAAATAATATATTAGTCATTATTTTGAGGAGATTGTTGGGAGTACAAATTTGCTTCTAGGCAGCACTTAAACCCACCCTGTTAACTCTTCTTTTTTCTGAACTATATTGATACACAAATGGGACTTCCTATCTGTGCTCATAACCCTTACCATCAGTTTGAGTAAGAAATTACGCCAAGATTGTATATCTGATAGATTTTATATATGTAAATCGATAAACAATTAGATATTAAATTTAATTATATTAATGCAAAACTTTGCAACCATATATTATATAACGGACATTTAACACGTGCACTATCATGCTCCTTTGTGAATTTATATAACTTTTATATAACTTTTAGCCAACGGCCATACCATGCTGAATATACCGGTTCTCGTTAGATCACCGAAGTCAAGCATCATTGGGCGCGGTCAGTCAAACCAGGTGGGTGACCACCTGGGAGCACCGCGTGCCGTTGGCATTCACAAATTTGGAACCTGAATGGCCCGAGTTCTAGCGCTCTGGCGTTCGGTGCCACAGGTTTCGGGTTCGAATCCCGGCGGTGCCATGGATGTTTGTAGTGGTTCAGAATCCACTTTAAGCTGTAGGTCCCGGTCTCCTATGACTGTAAGAGCGTCACGGAGCCAAAGTCAGACTTCTACCTACGGGTGCTCCATCAGAACAGAAGCTGCTTCCTTCCCCTTCAATCATGAGTACGTATGGGCTCGTGGGCTTGGCCAGCCAAGTGGGATAAGAAACAACAACATATAACTTTTTTAAGAAATCAAAAATTAAAAATACTCTATTCAAAATCAATGTATGCATTTAGTTTATTTTAAAAAATTGAAATCCAGATCTCTTAATTCTAAATGAGACATTAAGCAGTAATTGGCTTGTCAAATGCAATTGAAATTAGGAGAAACAAATCGGAGGAATCACCGAGATATGTCGTCAGACCACGTAATAGCCTAAATGTTTAAACATAACGACTGTAATAAGAATCACCGTCTGGGAATCTAAGGTAATTAAATCTCATCATCTTCAGAATAATTAGCGCCACGTGAATCGTTAAGCAATTTTTGCTTCGATTCGAAACATCGCTTCTTGGCTGATTCGAAGTCGAGTCGTGGATTGTTAATTCAATATTCTAATGGTGGAAAACGATCTCAAGTTGAATTGCTATCATCTGCTCCTGGCGTTATGAATCTGTTCTTGGCTTTCTTTGCGAGTTAATTACGATGAGGTGCGACAAATGTTCTTCGTCCTTTTTTCCCTTTAAGTAGTTCCATGGAAGGTCTGCTAATGACCTTTAAAATGAGTTCCGTTTATTTATTCGAACGTCATCTTCAGAGAATCATAAGAACGTGTTTTGAGAGAAATAATAAAAAACGAATTCTTTCGTGTCATAATTGCTTTCGAAATAACTTCTTTTGCTCGTAGATATTAGAAATTATATTAACTCCGACAAAATTTGAAATTCAGCTCTTATTATACTATGTTATTGTTCGTATATTTTTTTAGTAGAAATGCCAATTAAAATATCTGTAATGAGTTACTGTATATCCTTCTTTTCTAATGCGGCTTCCAAATAGACCGTGATCTTTTTATGCCATAAGGGCTGCACAGACGTTACTCACTTTGCATTACCCAGGGGGAGCGTGTAACTTACAGATAAGCCACGGACGCGGAGTAACAATGACCCCACAACGCTCTACGATCCTGTTAGGACCGGGACCAACCGTTTAAAGTGGATTCCGAACCACTACAAACACCCATGGCAACGCCGGGATTTGAACTCGATACCTGTGGTACCGAGCGCCAGAGCTCTAGCCACTCGACCATCATGAAACACTCCTGTATATAGCATTAATATATTAATTTAAAACAAAATTCAGACAGAAATGGTGTTATTCTTATATGAAGAATATTTTCTATGTGTTAATATTTTTATTGCAATTATATCAAATAATACCGCATTAGATATTATATAATACAGCAATTAGATTATGTGTTATATAATACCACAAATAATACTGAGCCAATTTAATTGATTTAAATTACATTTTGTATTTTTTTGAGTCGTGAATTCCCAATGCTAGGGACAGCATGAAGATGAGAGGATGATATTGCCTACCAAGAAGACTTTTAGAGGTAAATATATCGCATTTGTCTGTCAGAAATCTTGAAACACTCCTGGAAAGAATTTCAGAAACGGAAGTAGACAAGGAAAACTCTAAAAGACAAATCGACTATCGATGATAAATGCATTATGCGTGTTGCCATAATAACTATTGAGTTACCTCGTTTCTGAAATATATGACTACAATGTATATCATTAGAAATGTCAGACCTGTCAAATCTACAGAAAGCTGCTTAGTGCTATGGGTGCTGAATTTCTGTTTATGGATAACAACGCCCGTCTTCACCATGCAAACACTGTAGACGAATGCCTTCAATTGGAGGATATCCCCCGTATGGATTGGCCAGCATACTCACCGGACTTGAATCCAATAGAGCATGTGTGGGATATGCTCGGCCGACGAATTGCAGCCCGTCAACCTCCTCCCACCTGTCTACCGGAACTTCGGAGGGCATTGCTTGATGAGTGGTGTAATATTCCCCAAGATCAGATTGATAATTTGATACTCAGCATGCCTAGGCGTTGTAAGGCCTGTATCGCAACGTCCGGGAGACATACTCCATATTAACCATCATACTAACCATGTTATACTGTTTTTTGTAAATAGGTCCTTTTCTGAAATTTGCTCCAGGGAGTAAAAATCGCAATTTTTATTAATTATGTCAAACATATAGCATCTTTTTTGCTCTTTACCTTTTGTTTAATAAATAGACTTTACAAATAAGTCAAATTTGTTTTGCTTCTGTCTCTTTCTTTGCCTGAACTTCATTATCCTTAATTTATGAGCATGAGTGTATATCATTAGAAATGTCAGACCTGTCAAACTACAGAAAGCTACTCAGTCTACGTCAGAAATGCTACTAAGACAATATTATTCTGTAAAACATATATAATTTCTAAACCTTCATGAACTGCATATTGGTTGTAAGCTAATAGTGGATTAGAAGCTGATTTCTCCTGCAGGCTAATTAACGTTGAATTGTCTTAAATTTTACTAAGTCGTAAAATAAAAAAATAGCAATCTTATCAATCAAATTAAAAAGTTTTTCTTTAAAAGTATTTTTTCCATTTTTTAATTAATTAAAATTATTTTATAAGTTACTGTTAAAACAAGCGATAATTAAACATTTCAATTTGTCAAATAGCTATGCTTAAACTTTAATACGTTAAATGTTTATTTTTTAATTATATTATTATTTAATTATTTGAAATGAAAATTATGCATTGATTTAAATAAGAAAAAAACATAATTGTTAAAGAGTTTCAATACGAAAAAAAAAATTATTCTTAGTATAATCCTTAAATAGTGTTTCTGTAAATGAAATACCTGATCAAAAAAATAGGCAGAAAAAATATTATGGCACTCCTTGACCAAGTAATAAAAACAACACTTCTTAAAAAGTAATAGTAGGAAAAAAATATAAATAAATATTTCTCATTCGAAACAAATGAATTTCTTTTTCAAAAGCATGGA